TACGTCATGTACCTAAATTTGTAGCAGCTTGAAATATTTTGACTGTCAAAAACAATACAGATAAGTTTCATTGCCCACCACAATTTTTCTTTCATTTAATAACACCAAAGAACCTTATTTGACTGCATATAATTTAAAGTTTGAAATTCATAATCTTTGCAAAAATAATTATTACATGATTCTCCTTGTTTTAAAGATATGGTGTTACCCAATTTAGGTATTATAGAAAATATTTACAAACATCAAATGAATTAAAAAAATTGGTTCGATTGCAAACAAATATTGCTTTTGCGCGTTATAACAATCTTTATACTCTAAGCTTTTATTTTTTCACGACGACTTTCCATTATTGGTTATATTGACCGATCTATATTGTATGCTTACATTTCTATCAAGAGAATTTTATTTTTGATATTTTTTTCGAATGAACCTTGTATATAAAAATGAGAAGATGTGGTGTGATTGACAATAAGAAAACTATTTTAAGAATTTTTGTCCCGTTAATAACCAAACGAGTATATACTCATACGCTACGACGCGTATGGTCGGACCATATGAGTATACCCATAAGGTCATGACCATACGCGTACGGTCCAAATACTCATATGGTCCGGAACATATATAATACAACAAAGAATGTTTCATCAGAAGACCGGGATATTCTAACTTGGTATAGGCATTCGTGATAGCTAATCGAGAAAAGACACGTATATGTCAACAAACATGATACATCTGTTTATAACACGCTAAAGTATAATGGTTGTACAACACTTCCATACAAAATAAATTGTTTTAAGGATCGGAGTGTGAGTTGTTATCTGAAAGACAAAGAAAACTCAAAATCCTTAAATCAAATTTTTCAAAATAAAAGTCTTGAAAACTTAACCGGTATCACCTTCGAGCAACTTTTCAATATTCATAACTATAACATCAGACGAACAAACGACACGCAGTTTATTAATTACAGGACATCTTTAACCTTTAAGCATCAGTAACACTTTCGAATGTGTAATTGGGTTTTAAATTTAAAATTTGACAAGCCCAGATTACTTTTATTAAATTGTAACATATGTAAAGAAAAAAACTCATGCTAGACATATGTTGCATTAGATTGCAGTAGTTTTAATGAACATTTATATAACAGAAATCTCATGGAAAGTAAAAAAAAATCATGCATGTGGCAGAATAGATAGCAGTAAGCATTTCCTACTTGAGTTTCATAATTATTCACACGTCCGATAACGTAAACACTAGAAACTCTTCTGTTACATTAAAATATTAAATCACTCTTTGGCCTATATTGACTTCTTCTTTATCTCGGATTTGTGGGATATAGCCTTGAAACACATATACAGATTTTTTTACCATTTGAATAGCAGTCTTTTCCTTCTTTCTGTTAACAGGGAGACGGGTTAATATAAGAACAATATTGTTTCCGAATCCCTTTGGTTATAACTGCAATCGTATTTTGATTTGATGTCTCTCAAATAAAATATGTTTAAACTAAAAGCTATTATCACAAAAAATAAGGAGATTCAAAATGATTTTAATGACATTTTTGTCATTAAACTTAACCTGCAATCGAAAATATCAGTGATAAGCAAGTTTTTATTTAGAATATTTCTAATCATTTTATTTCGAGTAAAACAAATCAAGCCAACAAAGATAATTTTTTACACGCTTTTAATTTTTGCTTACCAAAGTTTTGAATTTGGCCAAGCGATTGTACAGTAAACTCGCAAGCAATTGTACAGTCAATAAAATATCCGACATTGAGATAATGAATAATTTAGATTTTTACTGGGACAATGGCTTTTAAACCTTCAGACAGGTAATAGTGAATTAAATAATGTTTACAACGAGTGCGATACAATATCGTTTTGCAGACCAAAATATGAGTGTACACGTATCATTACAGTTTTTTGTCACTATAAACTGTTCTCTAAAATTAACAAACCTAAAGATCATAAAGAGTATTTTCTAAAAATAAAATACATTAAAATGGGTTTTGATTTTATTACTTTGTCTAGTATTTTGAATGACTCTACGGTTTTAAACTTTAGTTTTTTAATGACTCTACGGTTTTAAACTTTAGTTTTTTAATGACTCTACGGTTTAAAACTTTATACCTCCAAATTTTGATAACATAGAGCCACCTATATTTTTTTATTCGTATAAAAGACCAAGTAGAAATTTTTTTTTAGTTATAAGCCATTTACATCAGACGTCAGTAAATAAAATGATTCTCCATCAACATAAAACTGTGAAACATCGAAGTTAAGATATGATCTATATGGCTATGTAATTACTGGGGACCTCAACATCGTTCAAGACCGATATGTTATGAACTGTCTGAAATAGGACCAACATATTGTATAAAGATGCTATTTCTTTCTGTTGTAAAAATTGGTGTCAACGGGAGAAATCTGACAAAAAGTCACTAGATTCCTATTTAAATAAATGTCTGAGAATTGTTGATATTTGTATATCACGTTTCGAAAATTATTAAAAAATTAATAAAAGAGTAAGTAATACGCATATTTCTAGGATTAAAAACAAACTTCAGGTACCTGCAAAGCGTTTTGAGTTGGTACCGGCCGATAAAGCAGCCAGCACTGCGGTGGTGGTGATATGACGTTAATACTACACGGAAGTCTTTAAGAATGAAATACTTCATTCGTGGGTCGTGTGCTCCATAGAGATTCAAATACTAAAAAAAGCTCAGCTTCCTACGGATTTTCTAATAAGACTAATGATAATACAAATCACGTTTAACACAACGGTAGCTACTTCTGACGCTTCGCCCTTATTCGTTTTTACTAAAAACTTTTTTTTTATATTTCAATGGGTCTTATTTAACCCATGAACTTTTCAATTTTGAATTGATGACAAAAATAGCTAAATATCAGCTAATTGCGATTTTTCTTAATTCATGCACACTATCTACTTTACATTTTATGAACTGGAATTGCTGATATTCCATTTAAAATAAAAAAAATAATATATGAAAGTTCTTTTATATTTTGCATGATAAGGAGTTCTATACTAAGAAGATGAGGTACGGTCTTCAACAATGAGAAAAACCCATACCGTATAATCGGCTATAAAAGGTCCCGACATGAAAAATATGAAACAATTCAATTGAGAAAACTAACGGCCTGATTTATAACAAAATAATTAACGAAAAACATATATGACAGACATGAACCAACGACAACCACTGAACTACAGGCTCCTGACTTGGGACAGTCACATAAAGAATGTGGCGGGATTAAACATGTTTGTGATTGGTTACCGATAGTGATTTTTTAGGCTATATTTTGATAACCGTTTTCACAGGATTACTTTCTACCAAATATAAACAACACTGGGGTTTGAATTTACAAAAAAAAATGTATAAGAGCCCTTTGTAATGAGTTCAATTTTAAATTTACGGCTTGATCTATATTTGGGCTTTAGTTTATTAGGTCTTTCAATCGACTTCAAGATTTCACTAGAACCCTTCCGTCATTAAAAAAACCAATAACTATATACCTACATTTATACTCTCACCTTGAACAGGAAGGGTGGGTTTGGGGGTGGGGGGATATAATTTGACAAACTTTTAAATTGTAACACAATGTCATAAACCCTACCGTACAGGTCAATTTCGATTTCAACGGGTTTGACACTTGTCTATGAATATTTTAAGAGTTGTTTTAGGTGGATTCTGATAATAGCCCAAGTAGTACTTAACAACATTCATTTTTATTAATTTTAACTAAATTAGCCTTACGTTTGATTTTGACATTATCGTTTAAGAATTTGTCATTGTTGCAGGGTAACTGTGATCCCTATATCACACGATACTGACTGTCTACCTTAAATAATTTTATCTAAATTAGATTACGTTTGATTTTGACATTATCGTTTAAGAATTTGTCATTGTTGCAGGGTAACTGTGATCCCTATATCACACGATACTGACTGTCTACCTTAAATAATTTTATCTAAATTAGATTACGTTTGATTTTGACATTATCGTTTAACAATTTGTCATTGTTGCAGGGTAACTGTGATCCTTAGATCACATGATACTGACTGTCTACCTTAGATAATTTTAACTAAATTAGATTACGTTTGATTTTGACATTATCGTTTAACAATTTGTCATTGTTGCAGGGTAACTGTGATCCTTAGATCACATGATACTGACTGTCTACCTTAAATAATTTTAACTAAATTAGATTACGTTTGATTTTGACATTATCGTTTAAGAGTTTGTCATTGTTGCAGGGTAACTGTGATCCTTAGATCACACGATACTGACTGTCTACCTTAAATAACGATGTTGGTCTGCATTCATTACTATGAATAAATATTTTAGGAGACATTAAGAAAGTAATTGTCTGCAGAATTATTAGGAGATCTCCACAACATGCTGTTCATCGTAAGGTCATGAGTTTTTACACCCGCAATTGAATTGTGATTTTCTATAAGTGTTTTAACTTGGTTTACTAATTTCAAAGCTACACTGTTTGCAAATGACCTCTTATTAACTTGCTACCTGTTATGTCAATGGCATTGTTGATAAAAAATGAGACAACATTTGACGTCAATTTTCCTTGTTCAATGATTGCTGTAAAATTTCAATTTAACGGTAAATTTGAAGTGGCTGCACGGCAGATGTAAATATCAACATCTAGCTGCTGAATAAGTAAAAAATCATTTGCTTTCAAGCCAGGACAATTTTGACAAAGTTTTTTTTAACCAAGGTCGTCCGGACAGATAAACGGACGGGCGGATTCATGCAGTTACTAAACCTGCTATCGCCTTTGGCGACGCAGGTAGCAATCAAAGCAATGTACCATTTCTAGCCAAGCAGAGGACTTTAATACTCATTATTATGTTTAATTTTCATCTAGTACAATAAAATATGAAATACGTTGGAAGTAAATATAAATGACTGACGCTGGCTGCTACTGTTTCTAATGCATTATAGTTATTTAGTGTATAAATACCTTCTTGACAAAAGCATTCTATATCTTTTGCGGTTGCTGTTTGAAATGGAAGATCTTTACAAGTGCCATTATTAAGACATGGACAATATTCACCTAAACACGCATTATCTGTGAGAAATAAAAAAGTACAATTTTTAATCTTTAGAAAGCAGTTTAATTGTTTTGTGGAGCAATATGAAAAAATGCATCAACTAGAAATAGAATACTAGCATGCATTTCAAAGTTCAATGGCAATGAACCGGGAAAAACTTTTGAAAATTTCTTTGCACTTGCATCTGATGTCAATAAAATAAAACGTGCATTATGAAGTAAACAGAACAATATCTAGAATTCCTACTGACCCTTTACTGATCGGATAGACTTATACTTGTCATTTAAAACCAACCAGTGTTAGATTAATTACTGCTGGTTATATAGATGAAATGTCCTGTGTTAGCTAACTATAACGAAAGAGAAATTGCATAATAAACCACGAAACGATGATTGAGAGTATCTCACGTTTATTCATCTTATGAATGAAGTCAGAACAAAGAATTGTCATCGGCGGACATGACCGCACTACATGTATATCAAAACAAACTGAAATATTTTTTACAAGAGGCCCTCCAAACATTATTTCTGACAATTTTATCATTTTTTTTTAATTTTTCGAGTATATCTCATAGGAAAAAGATTTAATGGCGAACTCTTGGCAATTTCAACTGAACAAAATATGGCACCATTGCTGCTTTATATGCCACAAAATTTATAAAAAATAAATACCATGTTGTTCACTCAGTTAGAACTAGATACATAAATATTATTCAAAAGAACCCTACTTACATTATTCCTTAAAAGTTTGATTTCTGAAGACACTTTGACATATTTTTTTCAAAGTAGACGGTTCAACACTTGGATGTCAGACGCTGAGTGTTGGCAGTAGCTTATATTTTCCTTATAAATGAGATGAACTTAACATTTATTATGATGGATTTTAAATCAAAGTTCTGTTGTGAAAGCATCAAAGATTTTGATAAAAATATTTCTCGTCAACTTTTCTTTCAGAATTGATTCCGGTTGTTCAACAATCTCTTAGTGCATGACATAGTCAAAACATTCAAAAGGTTATGCATGCACCAATATTTCTGTAAGATAAGAAAAAAAAACACTGCACAGAAAAACTAAAAGCTGAGCAATATCAACCCCGAAAAATTTGTTGGTACACACATGTGCTTTGGAGGGTGCTGCATCACTGTTTGCACCTTTCCTGTTGCTCATGACATGTACACATTTGTTGAAAAGTTGTAATCGATAATTATCATGAACGAGGAATGGAGGGCGTGTTCTGGCTGAGACAAATGGAACTTATATATGGTCATATGTACCACAAAAATCGTATTACGGTCTATCATGACATGTTAGCGTTAAAATGTTTTGAGCGATAACTCCTATATTGTTTTAATGATGTTATATTGACATGTTATCTCATTCAAGAATTCAAAAAAGTAAACATATATTCATGCAGTGTTGCCAGCTGTAGATCATGATCTGTTTTTTATTAAGTTTAAATGCATTGTAAATTTACATTTCAACGTGTTCTTACATTTCCTCTTCGCCGGTCTATCTCTATTCTCTGGACAATGAAGATATATATCACAAAAGCATTCCTTCGGCAATTTGATTTTACAGTCGTCACAACAATCATTACAACTATGCGAAGCTGAAATATGTCAATAATTATTTGTAAAAACATTAATACAATATTTGTAATCAAGAAAATTAGCTGGATCATGACAGGCTTTGTGTGAATAACGACATTGATTCAAACACAGACAGACAAAACAATCGGTATGAATCAGTCAGTTATAAATGTATGAATCAGTTAGTCATGGCAGACAAAACAATCGGTATGAATCAGTAAGTTATAAAGAAATCCGTTAGTCATGGCAGACAAAACAATCGGTATGAATCAGTCAGTTATAAATAAATAAATCATTTAGCCATGGCAGACAAAATTGCGGTAAATTCAGTACTGATCAGACTTCGCTTGCTGTAAATAAACATTTTTAGTCTGTTTTGAAAACAATTTAAAAAATCCATCACTTTTTAATGTTCAAAGCGCCATTAAAGATTAAAATTGCCATTTCAAAGTAACACTCATTTACCATTACTGCGATCGCTGTACCTTTTTAAAAATAATTTACCAATGCATTTGTCATTGCACATTTTAAGAAATCAGCGTTAAAAAATGCTATTAAAACGATTTGATAAATAAAAAATAAATTGAACAGAGACAAAACAAGTAAAACTGTGAGCTACTGCTCACTGATGATACCCCCGCCGAAATATATCGGTAAACAGGAAGTTGTTGAGTGATGAATCTGAAAACGCATCACACGGTGTAACTTACTTATATAAACCCTGAAACCAAATTTCAGAAATCCTTGTCAAGTAGTTCCTGAGAAAAATGTGACGACATTTTTTAACTTGGCTTTCATGTGTAAAATAATACAAGTGTTCGGTAAACAGGAAGTTGTTGAGTGATGAATCTGAAAACGCATCACACGGTGTAACATACTTATATAAACCCTGAAAGCAAATTTCAGAAATCCTTGTCAAGTAGTTCTTGAGAAAAATGTGACGAAAATTTTCAACTTGGCTATCATGTGTAAAATAATACAAGTGTTCGGTAAACAGGAAGTTGTTGAGTGATGAATCTGAAAACGCATCACACGGTGTAACATACTTATATAAACCCTGAAACCAAATTTCAGAAATCCTTGTCAAGTAGTTCCTGAGAAAAATGTGACGAAAATTTTCAACTTGGCTATCATGTGTAAAATAGTACACGTGTTCGGTAAACAGGAAGTTGTTGAGTGATGAATCTGAAAACGCATCACACGGTGTAACTTACTTATATAAACCCTGAAAGCAAGTTTCAGAAATCCTTGTCAAGTAGTTCTTGAGAAAAATGTGACGAAAATTTTCAACTTGGCTATCATGTGTAAAATAATACAAGTGTTCGGTAAACAGGAAGTTGTTGAGTGATGAATCTGAAAACGCATCACACGGTGTAACTTACTTATATAAACCCTGAAACCAAATTTCAGAAATCCTTGTCAAGCAGTTCCTGAGAAAAATGCGACGAAAATATTCATGGGACGGACGGATGGACTGACGGATGGACTGACGGAAGGACAGACAGAGGTAAAACAGTATACCCCCCCCCCCTTTTTTTTCAAAGCGGGGGTATAAAAATCGAGTTTAAACGAGTAAACATCTTTTTATTGATCCAAGTCGACTGTTTATGGAGTCTCTACACTAAATCCGTTAAATGTGAACAGTAACTTGTTGATACTTAAGTCTTGGAGAACATGATTTAATTATTAGTTGTTATTGGCTTTCACCTATCTTTCAGTTAACGTGTCACTGCGAGTACTCTTAGATCGGAAAACTGTGACTTTTATCTTTATGCTAGTAATGTTTGCGTGCTTCGTGCCGATCAGATAATTAAAACCATTTCCAACAGATTTTTGAAGTTTGTTTACGGTTACCTATATACAATTGCTTGTATACTATTTTGACGTTGCTTTACCAAATATATCGATATCTGCAGCAACCTATAGTCAGTAGGTAAAATAAGACATAATCATAAGCAGTCTTTTTTTACGGTAAGGCGGATCTCAGTTGAAAACTTCTGCAATGGATCTGTCAACGGCTCGCACTGAAGAAAATATAGCCAAATAAGCTGTAATTCTGATGTGTTCAGATATTATAATAAAATAAAAGCAACAAAACCATGACTAGCAAATTTTTCATAAATTTATTATTATTATTATTATTGTTATAATTATTATTATCATTATTATTATTATTATTGCGCTTAAAACATTACCGTTGTGTTAACTAATCATGTTCAACATTTGAATATTTTTTTAAATGTATCATTTGAATCATATACTGGCACAAATACTTTTTTTAGAATAAGCAGCTGAGGTACAGTAGTAACTATTGAAGTTAAAAAAATATTAAAAAGAAAGAACAAAGATAAAGATAATTAAACAGCACAGAATATACATTTAAGATCACTACAGAGAAACTAAGAAGACTACATGAGAAACTTACATTTATTGTTACATCGATCCATCACATATTGGCTACCTAAACAAAAATACTGGAATATATACTTCTAATTGATATCAGGATAATATTATTCATATTTTGTTTTTATTTGAATGTTCCAAGTGAAGGAAAATCCAGAAAAGCGCTCCGAGAGCACCAAAGTCTTTAAGTAGTATTTTTCAATATTCTTTAAAAACGGTTGCTTGTAAAATTGTCTCATTTACCCATTGATATAAACTGTAATAAAGTGTGAGTGGAAGGGAATAGAATAAGTGAACACTTGTTACTGGATATAATTTTTTAAATCGGATAACAAATGGTGATTTCATAGCTGGAGATATTTAAATGTCGATTTATCGTTTTGACTTAATGTTATTTACATTCCCATTTTATGTATATTTTCCCCAGACCTATATTTATATATTAGATCGTAAAATGTCTTTTGTATAACGAGAGAGCTGTTCGTTTTAAGACATTACAAACAAAACTATTTATGTCAACTGGACTGGTAAAATATATTTTAGCATGCAAATAGATCATACGAATCACTGAAAATAGGGTGAATAAAGGTGCGTCGAAAAAGCAAGTTTCGATGTTTTGATATTACATGTTGTGCTGTTTCACGTGTAATCAGAACAATGTTACCGTGTATGACGTTTAAATTACACTTACTACTATTGTTCATCTATCGGTGTATTAGACAGTTTGTAGCGTCGGGTTTTCAAAATTATTTTTTTGTGTTTATTTTCTATTTCTAATGAATAATATGCTATCTACATTAAATTACACATATTACAAACATTATATTCATTTCTGCAAACTGTACTTACCGGGTGTGCATTTGTCAATAAATGGGTCGATATCCTCATTAATTTTATCTACAATTTACAATTATGGAATTGTCTATACATACATGTATGTAAACATTTTAAAGTTGCAACAATAAAAGTGGATTAGGCCTATCAACATTAATTTAATCTGAAAAGAGCCCTTTGAAAGTTGCATGAATCGGTCCGTACAATTTAAACCTAAACTAATGAAATATCATAATTTATAATATGAAAACAGTGTGATTCATGAGTTACTAGTAGTCCGGTCAGAGTAAAATATCCAATTTAAATGATGGAACCAAATATACACAATAGTGTAATATGAATACATCTGATTGACTCTCATAAACCTTTTAAGAGATAACATTTTTTTTTAAGTGCCAAGAATTCTTTAATATGCTTATATCTGCCACTAGATAGTGTTGAGCCAAATTTCGATATCCTCAATATGAACAATTTACTATTAAATTATTCATTTTATTATATCCGAAGATATGGACAGCCTCCCATATATTTTGTTTTTATGCGCCACTGATAAATCTAATGTAGCCGAAATGCGCATTTGGCCTACCATATAAAACGACTAGTATTTGTGACGAATTTAACAACCACTGGGTCGATGCCACTGCCGGCGGATGTTTCGTACCAGAGTCTTTTACCAGCCCAGTAGACAGCACTGCTGTGATTTCTAACCCAAGTCACCGATAACCGTGGCCGTATTTGACACATATTTTCAGAATTGATTTGCTCTCCTTACTGTTTTGATTTGAGCACCACTGAAAATCTTATAGAAACGAAACCCGCGTCTGGCGTACCAAAGTATTATCCATGTATCTATGATGAGATTTTAAAAACTAATCTTAGGCTTATTACAAATACATCATGGGATCTGTACAGATATTTACGTTCATGAATTAACTAACTAGACCTTGGACATTTAATATGACTATGACATTAAAATAATATTTTTATCATATTTTCAGAAAATTGTAAATCGCATGATATTTTCTATCATTTTGTGTTTTTTTCACATGAAGAATTTTGTGTACTTTTTGATTCACAGGGTCATTTGTGTGTACAAAGCAAAATGTAGACATATGTGTGTGTGTGTGTGTGTTACTATATGGACTCTATAAAACGGAATTTATTGGTAAAATAGATTTTTCATTATCAGGTAAAAAATTATGATGGTTGAGATAGATCAGGACTAATGTTAAATTAAATGGTACTAAAAAATCAAATCCTATGAAGTATCTGTAATAATCTATTGAGGTTTGAATTATTGGTGAGGTCATTTAAATCAAAATATTTTTTTTTAAAAAAACTTGGAGATATTACAATAACTGGTTTATTCCACATGTACTTTGTTACTGTTGAACTAAGATTACCAATGACGTGTTTCATTATATCATGTGTTTTGTTATTTTCTTTGTAAAAAACAAATCTGATTTAAATAATCTCTGAAACTGACATCATCAAGATGCTTAATGTTTTGACTGACAACATACTGGTTACGTTTTGGGGACTTATTATTTCGACAAACAATCGGCTTTCCTATGCAAACCAACTGTGTCCTTCTTTTAGCCGACTTTTTATTCATATGAAGCAGACTTCATACAGCAGATCCTCAGGCAGAATGAAAAGAAGCTATCATTATCCTTTAACTTCACGTTTTGCTATATAGATGATATCATCTCACTAAATATTTCATATAAACTCATCATAGATATCAAGATTAAAATTTTGAAAGCCAGACGCACGTTTCGTCTATATAAGACTCATCAGTGACACTCGATTCAAAAAAGTTAAAAAGGCCGAATAAAGTACGAAGTTGATGAGCATTAAGGGCCAAATTCAAGTTTGTGAACTATGTTGAGTGCATCTATCCCATCGAACTTGAAATAGAAGATACCTTATATACAGCTAAGTATACATCATGTATTGACAATAACGGTAAGTTGAGAATAAAACTTTACGACATAATGGGATGAATAAAAACTTCCCGATTATGAACTTTTCAGGCCGTTAGTTTTCTCGTTTGAATTGTTTTACATTTGTCATTTTGGGACCTTTTATAGCTGACTATGCGGTATGGGTTTTACTCATTGTTAAAGGTCTTCCGGTGACCTACAGTTGTTAATTTCTGTGTCATTTGGTCTCTTGTGGAAAGTTGTCTCATTGGCAATCATACCACATCTTTTTATTTTATATTTTCATTTGTTATACATGTAAACAATATTCCAGCATCGCATGCATATAGAGTATATATCTCCCAGTTGGTACGATATTCCAGACCTTCCGTTTCCTATCTATTCCTATTCTTTGAAACAGGATTGCTGCTTACAAGGAAGCCATTGAACCAAAGTTTCCTAGTGATTGAGTTGAAGTCATCCCTTCGAACATTTTACGGACGCCATCACGAGTTGGTAGACCGTTAGTGAATATCCATATCTCAAATGACCAAGGATATTTTTCAATTGTCGAAACTACAAACTCGTCCTCTTTTTCTCGATTTTGACATCACTGGATGATACTTTTCCCCAAATTTGTACTTATCACGAGCAAAATGAAGGGTTCTACATGGATCAGCATCTGCTTACGCTTTCGGAGAACCAGTTTTGGGTGATTTTTGTGTTGTTCAGTCTTTATGTGGTATTACGTTTTCATTTATAATGCAAAATGTACATCAAAATTTCTTTTGTTTTATATTATACAATTCGAGGCCAACGGCCGAGGGTGAATGTCATATCTCTGGGGTTTGATAAATCATTGTATCAACTGAAATGAAAAGTCAATAATTGTTTTATTATATGACTTTTTATCCTTCTGCAAATTTCTAGTATTTGCTCAAGATACTTTTAAAACTACTCCCTGTTTTATACTATATATATCATCTGCTTTTGCAATTGCTAATAAGTTGAAATATTTAATAAAGTAAACCACCGAAAACAAGAAGAAGAGAAAAACATGTACATGACTTATTTAACCTACTTCTTTGACGTTGCCTTGGAATATCTATATTTAGGTACACGGACGCTGTTCCAAATCTTATATTAAACTCTCGAGATTTTTGCCGCGGTGAATATAATGTTTTATCAAAGAGGATTTCCTATGCTTTTAGCCAATGAGAAAACAGAAATTTATAGTCATATGATAATACACGATAACAGTTTTGTTTTTATTGATTACATTATAGAAATTAATATTCAGACTCTTTTCATTTAAAACATGAACATACCAAGATTAAAATTTTGTAAGCCAGACTCACATTTCGTCTATAAAAGACTCATAAGTGACACTCATTCTTAACATAAACGATGTTACACAAACAAAATAAACACAATGCTGCGAAACCTCTTCCTTGTTTGACAGTTGTTATTTTGAAGGTTAGGACAATTTAAAAATCAAAAAGAAATAATAAAAAATTATTCCTCTTAAAAGCATTTTCTACTAACAGAATATCACTTACTCAAAGTTTCAACCAAAGCACTAATGTAAAACAAAAGGTTTATGGCAGACTCGAGTAGCAATAAATGTAACTCCGCTGATTTTCTTTGATAATGATTGATAATTCAAAGGCTCTTTTTGTACAGTCAATGATAAATAAAGCTTTGACCATTGAATATTTGTAAACTATCCTATGTTTTAAATGAACTGGAAGAATAGAACTGTGATTCTAAGACTTTATTAACTTTAAAGATATTGAAAAACTATGTGTGTCTTTCCTTTCATGACTTACTACAATTTGATGATGATGATGATGGATGGTTGCTTAACGTCCAGCGGCAAATTATTGTGCATATTCAGAACGAGAACATGTAAATGTAATATCTACAATTTGATTTGTGTTGATAACACATTAAATGATTTGGAAGAAAAGGAGGAGATTTTGATAACCCACTTTTTAATATCATTTATTCGAGATCACGAAGTGTTATATAGACCTGTAGAACTTTTATATGTTAGATATTCACAAGACCAGGTTTTGTCAGACAAAAGTGAAAATAACTTTGAAAATACACATATGCATATAAAACATTCTTGGATAAGAATGGTGAAATCTTATGTCAGCTGATACACAAATTGTAAGCATTGTATGTACCAAAACACTATTACGTTAAGATGAAATACCAATTAATCTGTGCGCAAGGTGGGTTTCATGAGCAAAGTAAAATATGCTCACCGCTTCGTAATGGTGTCACTCCTGCTTTTACTTTTTTACTTGGAGTTCGGTATTTTTGTTATTTTACTTTATACAGGAGAATTCAAAAGTTGTGAAGTGTGCTTCGATCAAGTACATCTGAAAACTTCTTTTGTTTTGATTGTGAATGTATTTTTTTCTAAGTTCCTAAAATCCCTTTGTAATACAAAAACGGTAAGTTATCGTTTATATTTTTTTGTTATTGGAAATTTTCTACCCAATTGGTTCTAATTTTGTTAACTTCGACGCTTCTAATTAATGTGGTTATGTATGTTAAATTATATCTAGACTAAACGATTATTCAAGCCGTAAGCAAACCATATAATATGTGATGTATTTTAAAGGTCATATTGAAGTTTATAATACATACCGTGTAATAGACAAGATGTAACACGATCTACAAGAAAATAATTTATTTCGAGTTTTGAAAATGATGCATTTCTTGCCAAATTTTTTTTGTAAAAAATTACATAATATGTATTTATTATCGAAGACTAATAAACATATGTGTCAGTTGTAAATTCACAATGATGGCATACACATGAACAATTTCTTTTCATATCAATTTATAAATTTGAGTTCTTTTGGATCGTCTCATTGACGGCATAGATATGCAATTTAGAAGTGTGTTTTAAAAAATGGCGCGGACAATCAATCATCTTGAAAGGCACAATTTTTTCTCCATCAAAGTTGAAATTCCAAGATATCCCCAAATAGTTTTCTTTTACAATACAATACGTTTTTATATATAATAAATAGTTTATGTTTCGTGTTAGTGGCAAGTGATGGTTGGCAAAAAAAAAACCAAAAAAAAAAAAAAGCTCTAAATATTCTGCATTTTCTTCAAATATGGAGTGATTATCATCAAATACAGAACGTAAAACAACATTTATCAAACTTGTGTATACATCTATGAATATCTGTCTCGTATAATTTATAATGGCATGATACTAAACACCTAACGGGAGGGATTGTGTTTGATTTTCAAGATGATGAAGACATAATCTTTAGATCAGTTTAATTGAGGTCTGGAGCTGGCATGACAGTAACTGCTAGTAGTCTTTTGTTAATTTATGTATCATTGTCATTTTGCTTAGTTTTTTCTGTTACCTATTCTGACATCGGTCTCAGTCTTCTTTTATACTGAGTTTTACTGTGCGTATTACTGTGAGTTTGTTTATTCTACATTAGCTAGAGGTAAAGAGGGAGGGTTGAGATCTCACAAAACATGTTTAACCCCGCCGCAATTTTTGCGCCTGTCCCAAGTCAGGAGCCGCTGGCCTTTGTTAGTCTTGTATTTTTTTTTTTTAATTTCAGTTCATTTATATGTTTCGGAGTCTAGTGTGACATCCATTTTCACTGAACTAGTTCACATTTTTGTTTTGGGGCCAACTGAAGCTCGCCTCCGGGTGCGGGATATTCTCGCTGTGTTGAAGACCCATTGTTGGCCTTGGGCTGTTTTCTGCTCTTTGGTCGGGTTGTTGTCTCTTTGACACATTCCCCATTTCCATTCTCAATATTATTCTGATTATTTGTCTCGATCAATTAAATACCGTGTTGAAACCTATTCAAGGAAGGTCCCTTTTGATTTTTCTTGAAAAATTTGGACAAAAAATGAGTTTTTTTAGTGAAAACATTATTATTTACAAATTTTGAGAAACTTCTTTCGTTCAGTTTAATTGAGGTCTGGAGCTGGCTTGTCAGTAACTGCTAGCAGTCCTTTGTTAATGTATGTTGATCATTGTCATTTTGTTTAGTTTCTTCTGTTACCCATTCTGACATCGGATTCGGACTTCTTTTAAACTAAGTTTTAATGTGCGTATTGATATGCGTTTGTTTATTCAACATTGGCTAAACGTATAGGGGAGGGTTGATATTTCACAAAGCATGTTTAAACCTGCAACATTTAGGCACCTTTTCCAAGTCAGGAACCCTTAGCCTTTGTGAGTCTTGTGTGTTTATTTAATTTTGGTTCAATTATATGTTTCGGAGTTAAGTGTGGCGTCCATTTCGCTGAAGTAATATACATTAGTATTGTTTAGGACCAGCTGGAGCCCGCCTCCAAGTTCGGGATTTTCTTACTAAATTCAAGACCCTTTGGTGACCTTTGGGCTGTTTCTGCTCTTTGGTCCGGTTGTTATATCTATGAGACATTCCCCGTTTCCATTCTCAATTCTGTCTATGAAACTCACTTCTGCATTGCATTTATCAATTTGATAGTTACATTGGACTGTAAATGTACTTGAAATATAAAATCTCAAAAATGAGAGACAAAATACCGGCTTATGCAATCCCCAGTCCTTCGCTAATCCTTCAATAATTCTTTAATTAGTTCCTTTCATGGTAATTTTTTAGTCGTTTAAATTGTGTTTCAATCATATGATCTGACTGTCCCTGTTAATCCCTTTTCCCCCATATATTATTCCCGTAAATAATAATCATTGCATGTAAAAATTACATAGTTTACTTCTATAACGAAACATTTAAAAAGTCGTTCTTTAATTATATCATAATGTTATTCACTACATTTTGTATGCATAATAAAGATATGGACGATGCATGACCCTGCAATTTAGCCATTAATGATTTTTTCGAAAAACTGTTTTTAAAACCTTTAATGGCTTTTTATCATAGACAAGGACTCAGATCGAATGAAACTTAACTGTGAAAAGACAAAAACCGATGTAATTTATTGTAAGGACTAACTATAGAATCAATTTGACTTGTAAATCAGTTCAACTTACCATCTGGTATTATATGTTTGGTGTCTATGTCCTGTCCAACATTTGCCATAATTTCTGGAAATGGAAAATTATTGGTTTACCGTACAATGTAACCTTTGTTCTTTGATGAAATACTACAGTCTCATTCTTGGTGTGAGACAATTTTTATTTCAAATAATTTTTACACGCCTGTAGGACCTTTGATACTTTACAAAACTACGGATTTTTTTTTAAAAATACAAACACATTACAAGTAATGATAACAAATGGTTGAAGATCAGTTATCATTTTTTTCAACCTTTGCAAATTGCTGATGTGGATAGACTGACGCATTTAAAAGGGACATTCGCTGCCAAATTCAATGCCACCAAATTGACTCAATTTCCTTTTCGATATTTATTAGATATTTACCATAATTACAAAGGTTCCCTATGGTACAAAATAAACAATGAAGACTGATACCCTACACAAAAAATGAAATTTATTGGTGAGTTATGCAAAAAAGAATTCACAAGAAAAGTCTGTCGTCAAGTACTTTGGTAAAAATTTGTTATTCAAACACACCTATCCTGGTGTTATGACTTACTAGAAAGGTTTTCTATTGACCTATTTAAAAAATCTAAATTATCTACCTACAAAAAACTTTTAAAGCCCATAGAAACAGATGTAAACAGTTCAAATATACCAACTTGACCATTTTTACCTTCTGTAATATAGAGTTCCATTTCTTTTGTTTAATTTCAACATGATGTCAGCCTGAATCATCTTCACATGTAGAAGAGTTTCTGAGGGCCGAATCGGTCAACAAAATGGTTCTTTCAAGTGGCTTCCTCGTTTTAACTTAATCATTCTTTTCTTTTTAACATTTTATCATGCTGATAACATGCGCAATCAATCTCTAACTAAGGGTCTAATTATATGTTACATACATACAGACCCAAATGAGGTCAAATTATTGTTTTTGATATAAACTCAACGTTTTCTCCGCGGTTACAAAGCTCGTTGTCGAAATCAACTTTATTTTGAATCAGTAGTCTACAACTCCGACAATAAACTACACTACTCTTTGATGTTGATATAACAGTGTCCTTAAACTATGACAATGTCATTTTATAAATTATATTGTTTCAAGCATCACCGTACGTCAATCTCTGTGCGATAGAACAGCTGATTGGATAATAGCAGAAGTCCATTACTAGGCCTTCTGGTGCATACTAGTGACTGTTTGACATGCCTTCATAAAATGATGAATTATCATGCAGCGCATGTCGACGTTCTCTATATATGCTTTTTGTAATATTTCGTAATATAGGTTTTTCTTCGAAAAACAAAAAACCAAAATGATTTCGTAAAAATATTATTAAGAACCAGTGCACTGTGTGTGTAAATGAAGCTGTGAGATATTGGACTACTTATTTTCACGTCAGACAAACTTCTTCGTGCATGTACTTTATGCGACTGTCATACAAGTGAGAGGGGTTTTGCTAGCTATAAAACCAGGTTTAATCCACATTATGTTACATAAGGAAATGCCTGTACCAAGTCAGGATTATGACAGTTGTTTTCCATTTCGTTTTATGTGTTTGAGCTTTTGATTTTGCCATTTGATAAGGGACTTTCTGATTTGAATTTTTCTTAGAGTTCAGTATTTTTGCTATTTCAATTTTTTATATTCGATTTAGTATTTTCAAAAAGGAGTGGAATGCCCATCTATAAATAAGGGGGGACAGTAAAAAATGATAAATTAGTCCATTACATAATGCGATCTCGGATGCAATTATCTTTCTTTATATATGATCAAGATATCTAGAATATATGCAAATGAGGCAGTAGACCATTAATACAAAAAAAAAAAAAAAAGACTAGTTAATAAATTATACAATTTTTATTTAAAATGTAATCAAAGTTTCCATAAAAATCATGATAAATGAAAAAAAAATCGTAAGGGTACCGCGGAACCCAGTGTCTCGCCTACTTTTGCTGTTAATCGCAGGCTCAACAAAAATGAGATGAGGAAAACATTTAATACAAATATTCCTCTCGATACAATTTTTTTATTGTAAGAAGCTTCTGTCCAAGTTAGGTAAAAATCCAGGATAGTTTATGAATCTAATAAATGTTTTCAAAAATTTAACTGCAGACTGTATGTAATGTTAACTGGAAGAAAAACTAAGTCCTTTTATAAGTAAAATATGGATAAACAAGTACAAAATTTTAATAAAAATGTCCTTCTAGATACTAGCTTTTGATCATAAACAAACTTCTGTCCATGTTTGGTACAAATCCAGGATAGTTTAAGAAAGTTATTAAAATTTTAAAAACTTTAACCACAAAGTGAATGTAATGTTTCCTTGCAGAAAAACTAAGTCCATTTATAAGTAAAATACGGAAAAACAGGATTTTTCTTTTTTTTAAATTTACTTCTGGATACTATCTTATGATCATAAACAAGCTTCTGTCCAAGTTTGGTAGAAATCCAGGATAGTTTGAGAAAGTTATCAAAATTTTAAAAACTTTAACCATAAAGTGAACGTAATGTTTCCTGGCAGAAAAAACTAAGTCCATTTATAAGTAAAATACGGAAAAACAGGAATTTGTTTTTTACAAAATTTACTTCTGGATACTATCTTATGATCATAAACAAGCTTCTGTCCAAGTTTGGTAGAAATCCAAGATAGTTTAAGAAAGTTATTAAAATTTCAAAAACTTTAACCACAGAGTGAATATTTGTGTGACGACGCCGACGGAATGTAGGATCGCTATGTCTCGCTTTTTCGACAAAAGTCGAAGGCTCGACAAAAAGACTGTTACAATCTTTAAAAATTCTCTATTGTTGAAAATAAAAGAACGATAAGAAAAATAGCATCTGCTGGAAAAAACACAGTCAGAGTGTTTTTTTTTCAGTTTCTTGGAAATCTTGTTTTCTTTTTTTTGTGACTTGAAGGTTAAAAAAAAATGTTATACCCGGAGTTATGAAATTGTTCAAATCTTGAAATTAGATTAATTCTAAAATTTTGTTCTACAATGTATTACAGTTTAAACAAAGAAGTAATTCGGTTAAGAAATGTCTAAATTGAAAGTTTTACATTGCATTAAAAAATCCATCACAAGAGTATTATATGATTAGAAACCATTGCTCGTTGTTGGAAGTTCCGTTTCGCCACTTTTCGTTCTTGTCATGAGAAGATATTAAAGAGTTTCTATTGTTTACCTCATAAAATCAAATAACGGACAATAAAAACATATTCAATCTCAACCTGAGAACGAGTGGCTCATTTTCTTCTAGCAATGTTTATCTTTTGTTAGATGTTGTACTTTCAATTGTAGTTTAAACCAAGAGTAAAATTTTAAATGTTTTGTATAAATAGGTTAAATCATTCATCTTCAAAACAAAATTTCAGAAGATAATGGGAAATATCAGAGCATAATGATGTAAATTTAAAAAAAAAAACCCAACACATCTGATCCAACTAACAAAAAGCCAAATTGGCCTCTAAAATTCTTTACACACAAAACATGTACATCACTGAAACATCTCAAGATACCCAAATAGAGCACGTTTGTAAACGCATACTGGACTTAATTTTTATATTGATACTCATACTTAAATTTATACTACCTTTGATCAACCGTTAGTGAACCATTTTTTAAGGTTATTTATCCATGGATTCATTACATGTGCAATGCAAAATAAATTGAATTAAAAACCAATTGTTCAGAGAACAATTGAAGGTCTTTCCACCCATAAAAGAGGGACGAAAGATACCAGAGGGGCAGTCAAACTCATAGATCGAAAACAAACTGACAACGCCATCGCCAAAAATAAAAAGACAAACAGACAAATAGAATCATGTGCATAACAGTGTAGACGAGACCATTGATTGGCGCGCTAAAATATCCCATTGACTTGGTCGGATTAGGTGAACGTTCGTCTGCAACGCCCACTATTCACGACGTATTTATTATAGACATTTAAACTGTGGGGTCACCAAAGGGTCTCAATGCCTAAATAAAATAATTCGAAAAACTAATCAGGAATAACCTTTGTGTTTTGATTTATATTGAATACTTAAACGTTCTTTACTTGTGTTTTTGTTATGTTTTGATAATCAATTTTTATGATATCGCACGTTCTTTCAGCAAAAAAAAGGATTTAACTGGCTTTAAAAGTTACAATGCATGTGTTGATTATTATCTTTTTTTCGGACAACAACGCGATTTAACAATTGCGGTTGAATGTCCAATTATGTCATCTTTTAACTTTTATCTGGTCAAAATTTTATTTCAAAACGAATGCATGATCAACTTTAAAAAGTGTGCAAACACAAAACATATAGACAAAATATACTTCTGTCCTGTCTTTTTCGTACTTGCAAGTTATTAGACAGTTAAAAAGCTATTCGAATCAAGCCTTGTGAAATTTGCATTTACGTTTTTGAATAGGTAAAATGTATAGTTTGGTGAACTTTTCTGCTAACTACTATACTTGTGAAAAACCCTTGGCAACAGAAACATATTCAGCTTTTTTTTAATCGACCCAATTTACATAGTAATGGACGACTTCGTACATTTTATGATCGCAAATAAAATATGTATATAATATACTGTGCACTGTAATTCGTATATTCATTTTTACTTTTGTTAATGGATTTTCCCGTCTTTCTGGGAGTGATTATTTGTTATTGACTCCTTTTGCTTACTCGAGAATAATCTAAAACCAAGACTTGCATTATAAAAATGTCCAAATAAACTTGATTTTCCTTTTTTTTTAAACATACATCTCAGCCATAGATAAGGACTTGAATTCGCCAGGTCTTTAATTTCAAGTTAGTGAGTTGACCAAAGTAACATTGCGGACCATTTGCCAGTTTCCATGCGGTATCCGTGTTTTTTCACTCGCTCTGTTCTGCATCCACTCAACTTTCGTGTTTGTCATGACAAGGCCATTTGAAGTGTTCATGCTATACAGTGTGTGTTTTGCTTATTGTTGAAGGTCGTACGGTGACCTATATTGCTAACGTCTGTTGACCACTGGAAGGGAGTTGTCTGATTGTCTATCACACCACATATTCTTA